TAGCATCTGGGTGGCGACTTGTTGCAGGGAAATATCACAACCATTGACACCACATAACATCAACCGAACACGGTTTTCCCATGGGGTCCTAGGATAGACTAAATTGCCGAGATAATACAGTTTACTTCAGGATGCTATACACAATAGAAAGACTACTCTATATCGATGACTCCCGACAACCGAGCTTACACGTGCGACTACCATATTGAGCTCAACAGTTTCCTCACTAATTATAGGAGTTTATATACGAATTCGGGTACAAGTGTACAGAAACCAATCGAGATTTTTTTTCCAAAATTTCCTCAGAATTTCAATATTTCCCGCAGTCGGCATATTTTCCCACACTGCCATATACGTTCACATTATAACCAAAGTATAGTTAACACTATTTGTGATTCACGAAACCGACTATTCACGAAACCTACCCCGAAGCTGCTGTGCTCCTATGTGTAGTTTTATGTGTTATATGCGCTGACCGTCCGCCCAGCATCGCCCCGAAAATTTCCAACATCAATATCTGCATACCACAAAAATACACGTGAAATTATCAAGGCACGCTACCCTTTCCTGCACTTCGACTTGCATTGTGGAAAAATCTATTCTTGGTAGTAGTGGGACGAATGGCCACGGATCTGCCAGAATAAAACTATGTGATGCACTTCATAACTTCACTGCCGAAAAACCATCGAAGATAACAACTATATTCCTTATAAACTCATTTATGCATATAATTTACTACACATATACAACGAAAGTACTGTAGTGGAGTTTCACCCGTTTTACGTGGAGTGGTAAAAAACCCGATATTATTGCTATGCAGCGGTTTGAAAAAATATGTTTCCACTAGTGTTTTCCATATCACCGCTGAAACTCCAATATATACTACATATACATCTATTTTCTATGGAATACTATCCGTATAAAATAAACCATTATATGACAAGACATGATATCCATGATTTACTACTATGATAACTACTCGTCAATAAGAGATAGAGTACAGAAATTATTATAAATACATCCACGCTCGTGTTTTTATACTGCTCAATGGAGTTTCACGACCGTGATATGAAAAACCCCAGTGAAAAATATATTTCACGACTACTGCATACCAAGAATATCGCTTTTTCACCGAGTTTTACACCACTTCACGTAAAACTCGGTAAAAAACGCGGAATTCCCGGTCTGCAGTAGTCGTGAAATAGGTTTTTCACCAGTGTTTTTCACATCACGGGTGAAAAAACTCTATTATAAATCAATCAATTTTATATTCCTTATACCACACCATCCCCAAATATTCATACAACATATCCTTAGCTCATCCACAATTCATAACCATTGCCTATTTCTCGCATTCCACGACCACCAAAAAATTTCAGTTTCGCTCGTTATCAACAACAACATGACCAATGCAGTTTCAGCCGTTTAACGTGAAGTGGCGTAGTACTCGGTGAAAAACGCGAAATTCGCGGTGATATGCAGTAGTCGTGAAATATGTTTTTCATATCACGGTCGTGAAA